CTCTGTCTAATATACAGCGAAACCACAGCCAAGGGAACATGATTGGCAGAATCAGCGGGGAAAAAGACCCTTTTGAGCTTGAATCTAGTCCGACTTTATGAAATGACTTGAGAGGTGTAGTGTAAGTGGTAGTCGAAAGGCGAAAGTGAAATACCACTTCGTTTAACGTTATTTTACTTATTCCGTGAATCGGAAGAGGGGGACTACCCTCTTTTTGGACCCAAGACTCGATTTGCGGGTCGATCAGGGGGAAGACATTGTCAAGTGGGGAGTTTGGCTGGGGTGGCACATCTGTTATAAGATAACGCAGGTGTCCTAAGATGAGCTCAATGAAAATAGAAAAAAACTTGTGGATCAGAAGGACAAAAGCTCGTTTGATTCTGATTTCCAGTACGAATACGAATCGTGAATGCGTGGCCTAACGATCTTTTAGACCTTCAGAGTTCTAAGCTGGAGGTGTCAGAAAAGTTACCACAAGGATAACTAGCTTGTGGCAGCCAAGCTATATAGCGAAATTTATTTTTGATGCTTCGATGTCGACTCTTCTTATCATTGTGAAGAAAAATTCACCAAGTGTTGGATTGTTCACCCACAAATAGGGAACGTGAGCTGGGTTTAGACCATCGTGAGAGAGGATAGTTTTACCCTACTGATGACAGTGTCGCAATAGTAATTAAACCTAGTAAGAGAGGAACCGTTAATTCGCATAATTTGTAATCCCGCTTGGTTGAAAAGCTGGTGGCACGAAGCTACCGTGTGCTGGATTATGACTGAATGCCTCTAAGTCTGAATCCAGGCAAGAAGAGACGCATGCGCCCGCCGTCAGCTTGCCGACCCCTAGTAGGGGCCTTTAGCCCCCAAGTGAACATTTTGTTGGCTAAGTCACCGCGATGGAAGCGTCGCGGTGACTTCCTTGAAGCACAATTTTCATCGAGCGGTGGGTAGTATCCTCAGCAGAAGACATAAATACACGACGGGGTATTGTAAGTGGAAGAGTAGCCTTGCTGCCACGATCCACTGAGATACAACCCTTTGTCACTTCGATTCATCCTCCCCACCTTCCCCCTCCCCCAACCTCAAATCAAATTATTTCTAACATTTCATATGAGAGGTTTATGTCAGGCTTGCATACTTGGAAGGAAAAAAACCACTAACTGTTGAAATATAAGTTCTGAGAATAACATGGTCCATGAAATTTACTACTTTACTTCTATGTGTTGAACTATACGTTCTATGCTGATCAAACACTTGTTCAATAACGATGACCTATTGCGAGGTTTTTCGTGACGTTGGGTTTATTTCTCATGTCTAATGACATTTTAAGGGACTAATAACGATGTCGCTATAAGAGGTTTTTCGCGATGTCTGGGGTGATTCTAAATCCAAGTAAGATGTCAAGGGGAATATATGTCTATGTAGGCAGAACGGGCATTCCATGTCTGGGGACAGGCGAGATCAGCAAAATTCTGTACGCATCGGGCATGCGACGTAGGCCAACGACATGCGACATCAGTCCATGCCAACACGCATCTGAAGCAGCATGTGCGTATCGGTCAAGCAACGTCGGCCAACGGCAGATAGCACCAGCCAAGGCCTGCATACATCAGACGTGTCATGTGCGCATCATCCAAGAAACGTCGGTAAGCGGCAAAACCTTGGGCATGAGCCTGTGTGGAGCAGTCGTTAAGTGTAGATCTTTGTGGTAGTAGAAAATATTCAAATGAGAACTTTGAAGGCCGAAAAGGGGAAAGGTTCAATGTGAACGGCACCAGCACATGGGTTAGTCAATCGTATGGGTCGGGGGAACCCCGACAGATAGCGCATTTCGCGTGTACTCCGTAATGGAATGGGTTAAAATTCCTGAACCGGAACGTGGAGGTTAACGACAGCGTCAGGAAGTCGGCAAACGTTGGTGGGAGCTTCGGGAAGAGTTGTCTTTTCTGTTTAACAGCACGCCCACCATGCAATCGGCTAGCCGGAGGTAGAGTCCAGCGGCTGGAAGAGCACCTAACGTCACGTGGTGTCTGGTGCGCTCCCGGTGATCCTTGAAAATCCAGAGGACCTAATGCCGTCGACACTCGGTCATACTCATAACTGCATCACGTCTCCAAGGTGAACAACCTCTAGTTGTTGGAACAATGTAGGCAAGGAAAGTCGGCAAAATGGATACGAAACTTCGTGAAAAGAAATATGCTCAGAGTGTTTGGCATGGGGGTCCTAGTACCGAACCCATTGGCTGTCGATGAACTGCATGAGCTGACCCCGCGGAAATAGTGGGTCGCCGTGGGACGGACTGGGAACGGTTCCTTTCTTTGGGGCCTTCCCCGGGAGTCAAACAACCAACTCATAACTGTTACAAACAAGGGGAATTTGACTATTTATTTAAAATAAAGCATTGCGATGGTCCCAACGGATGTTTACCCACTATGATTTTTGTCTAGTGCTATGAATGTCAAAGTGAAGAAATTCAACCATGCGGGGGTAAACGTCGGAGTAACTATGACTCTCTGAAGGTAGCCAAATGCCTCGTCATCTAATTAGTGATGCGTATGAATGTATTAATAAGATTCCCACTGTCCCTGTCTAATATACAGCGAAACCACAGCCAAGGGAACATGTTTGGCAGAATCAGCGGGGAAAGAGGACCCTTTTGAGCTTGAATCTAGTTCGACTTTATGAAATGACTTGAGAGGTGTAGTATAAGTGGGAGTCGAAAGGCGAAAGTGAAATACCACTACTTTTAACGTTATTTTACTTATTCCGTGAATCGGAAGAGGGGAACTACCCTCTTTTTGGACCCAAGACTCACTTTGCGGGTCAATCCGGGGGGAAGACATTGTCAAGTGGGGAGTTTGGCTGGGGTGGTACATCTGTTATAAGATAACGCAGGTGTCCTAAGATGAGCTCAACGAAAATAGAAAAATCGTGTGGATCAGAAAGACAAAAGATCGTTTGATTCTGATTTCTAGTACGAATAGGAACGGTAAATGCGTGGCCTAACGATCTTTTAGACCTTCAGAGTTCTAAGCTGGAGGTGTGAGAAAAGTTACCACAAGGATAACTAGCTTGTGGTAGCCAAGCTATATAGCGAAATTTATTTTTGATCCTTCGATGTCGGCTCTTCTTATCATTGTGAAGCAAAATTCACCAAAGTGTTGGATTGTTCACCCACAAATAGGGAACGTGAGCTGGGTTTAGACCATCGTGAGAGAGGTTAGTTTTACCCCTACTGATGACAGTGTCGCAATAGTAAATTAAACCTAGTAAGAGAGGAACCGTTAATTCGCATAATTTGTCATCCCGCTTGGTTGAAAAGCTGGTGGCACGAAGCTACCGTGTGATGGATTATGACTAAACGCCTCTAAGGCTTAATCCAGGCAAGAAGCGACGCATGCGCCCGCCGTCAGCTTGCCGACCCACAGTAGGGGCCTTTAGCCCCCAAGTGAACGTTTTGTTGGCTAAGTCACCGCGATGGAAGCGTCGCGGTGACTTCCTTGAAGTACAATTTCCATCGAGCGGTGGGTAGTATCCTCAGCAGAAGACATAAAATACACGACGGGGTATTGTAAGTGGAAGAGTAGCCTTGCTGCCACGATCCACTGAGATACAACCGTTTGTCACTTCGATTCATCCTCCTCACCTTCCCCCTCCCCCAACCTCAAATCAAATTATTTCTAACGTTTCATACGAGAGGTTTATGTCAGGCTTGCATACTTGGAAGGAAAACAACCACTAATTGTTGAAATATTATTTCTGAGAATAACATGGTCCATGAAATTTACTACTTTACTGCTATGTGTTGAACTATACGTTCTATGCTGATCAAACACTTGTTCAATAAGGATGACCTATTGCGATGTTTTTCGTGACGTTGGGTTTATTTCTCATGTCTAATGACATTTTAAGGGACTAATAACGATGTCGCTATAAGAGGTTTTTCGCGATGTCTGGGGCGATTCTAAATCCAAGTTAGATGTCAAGGGGAATATATGCCTATGTAGGCAGAACGGGCATTCCATGTCTGGGGACAGGCGAGATCAGCAAAACTCTGTACGCATCGTACAGGCGACGTAGGCCAACGACATGCGACATCAGTCCATGCCAACACGCATCGGAAGCAGCATGTGCGTATCGGTCAACCAACGTCGGCACACGGCAGATAGCACCAGCCAAGGCCTGCATGCATCAGACGTGTCATGTGCGCATCATCCAAGAAACGTCGGTCAACCGCAAAACCTTGGGCATGAACCTGGGTGGAGCAGCCGTTAGTGCAGATCTTGGTGGTAGTACCAAATATTCTAATGAGAACTTTGAAGGGTGAAAAGGGTTAGTCGATCCAATTGGTCGAGGGAACCCAAATAGATAATGCATTTCGCGCGTACCCCGAAAGGGAATCGGGTTAAGATTCCTTAACCGGGACGTGATGGTTGACAACAACATTAGGAAGTCGGCAGATGTCGGTAGGAGCCTCGGGAAGAGTTGTCTTTTCTATTTACCAGCATGCCCAGCATGGAATGGGCCCTGCCGGAGGTAGGGTCCAACGGCTGGAAGAGCACCACACATCACGTGGTGTCCGGTGCGCTCCCGGCGACCCTTTAAAATCTAGAGGACCGAACGTTGTCCACGCTCGGTCGTACTCATAACCGCATCAGGTCTCCAAAGTGAACAACCTCTAATTGATGGAACAATGTAGGCAAGGAAAGTCGGCAAAATGGATCCGTAACATCGGGAAAATAATTGGCTTTGAGGGTTTGGCATGGGGTCCCAGTCCCGAACCCACTGGGTGTCGGTGGACTGCTTGAGCGGATCCCACAGAAATAGCGGGTCGCCGTGGGCCAGCCGGGGGACGGATTGGGAATGGTTCTTTCGGGGGCCTTCGCCAGGAGTCAAACAACCAACTCAGAACTGGTATAGACAAGGGGAATTCGACTATTTAATTTTAACAAAGCATTGCGATGGTCCCAACAAATGTTTACGCAAAGTTATTTTTGTCCGGTGCTCTAAATGTCAAAGTGACGAAATTCAACTATGCGGGGGTAAACAGCCGGAGTAACTATGACTCTCTTAAGGTAGCCAAATGCCTCGTCATCTTATTAGTGATGCGTATGCATGTATTAACAAGATTCCCACTGTCCCTGTCTAATATACAGCGAAACCATAGCCAAGGGAACAGGCTCGGCAGAATCAGCGGAGAAAGAAGACGCTATTGAGCTTGAGTCTAGTCCGACTTTGTGAAATGACTTCAGAGGTGTAGTATAATTGGGAGTCGAAAGGCGAAAGTGAAATACCAATACTTTTAACGATATTTTACTTATTCTGTGAATCGGAAGCGGGGAACTACCCCTATTTTTGCACCCACTACTCGCTTCGCGGGCCGATTCGGGGGGAAGACATTGTCAAGTGGGGAGTTTAGTTGGGGCGACACATCTGTTAAAAGATAACGCAGGTGTCCTAAGATGAGCTCAACGAGAATAGAAAAATCATGTGGATTAGAAGGATAAAAGCTCGTTTGATTATGATTTCCAGTACGAATACGAATCGTTAAAGCGCGGCCTAACGATAGATTAGACCTTAGGAATTCTAAGCTTGAGGTGTCAGAAAAGTTACCACAAGGATAACTAGATTGTGGCAGCCAAGCTATATACTGAAGTTTATTTTTTATCATTCGATGTCGGCACTTCCTATCATTGTGAATCGAAATTCACCAAGTGTTGGATTGTTCACCCACCAATAGGGAATGTGAGCTGGGTTTAGACCATCGTGAGACAGGTTAGATTTAGCCTACTGATGACAATGTCGCAATAGTAATTTAACCTAGTAAGAGAGGAACCGTTGATTCACATAATTGGTCATCGCGCTTGGTTGAAAAGCCAGTGGCGCGATGCTACCATATGTTGGATTATGGATGAACGCCTCTAAGTTAGAATCTAGGCAAGAAGCAACGCATGCGCCCACCATTCTCTTGCCGACCCGCAGTAGGGGCCATTAGCCCCCAAAGGATCGTTTTGTTGGCTAAGTCACAGCGACAGAAGCGGCGCGGTGACGGCCTTGATGTACAATTTCCATTGAGCGGTGGGTAGAATCATTTGCAGAAGACATAAATACGTGACGGGGTATTGTAAGTGGAAGAGTGGCCTTGATGACACGATCCACTGAGATACAACCCTTTGTCACTCTAATTCCATTTCCCCACTTTCCCTCTCCCCCAACCTCAAATCCAATCATTTCTGACATTTCAAATGAGAGGTTCATGTTATGCTTGCATCCTTGGAAGGACAAAACCACTAACTGTTGAAACATAAGTTCTGAGAATAACATGGTCCGTGAAATTTATTACTTTGCTGCTACGTGTTGAACTATACGTTCTATGCCGATCAAATACGTGTTCAATAACGATGACTTATTGCGAAGTATTTCGTGACGTTTGTTTCATTTCTCATGTATAATGAAATGTTAAGGGACTAATAACGATGTCGCTATAAGAGGTATTTCGCGATGTCTGGGGTGATTCTAAATCCAAATGAGAATTCAAGGGCCATATGGGTCTATGTAGGCAGCACGGACATTCCACGTCCGGGGCTAGGCGAGATCAGCCAAAACCTATGCGTATCGTACAAGCGACGTCGACCAACGGCAGGCAGCATCAGCCAACGCCTTTACACATTGGACGTGGCATGTGCGCATCAGGCAAGTGACATCATCAAAGGGCAGGCGACATCAGCCAAGGCCTGCATGCATTAGACGTGCTATGTGCGCATCAGGCAAGAAATGTCATCCAACGGCAGGCGGCATCAGTCAAGGCCAGCACGCATCGGACGTGGCGTGTGCGCATCGGGCAAGCAACGTCGGGCAATAGCAGGCAGCATCTGCCAAGGCCTACACATATCAGACATGGCCTGTGCGCATCGGCAGGTCGACATTGGCTGTGGCTTGCGTACATCAGCTAAGCATCATCAGCGATGGCCTGCACACATCGATCAACCGAGGTCGCACGTGGCCTGCCAAAATAAACTGTGTCCTGCAGACACCGATCTGCCGACGTCGGACGAGGCCTGCCTACATCGATCAGCCGACGTCGGATGTGGCCTTCTCCCATCGTCCGTGGCCTGCACACAATGATCAGTCGATGTCGGACGTGGCCTGCCAGCATTGTACGTGGCCTGCACACATCGGTCTGCCTACGTCGGACGTGGCCTACCAGCATCGTCCGTGTCCTGCACTCATCGGTTTAATAACGTAAGACGTGGCCAGGCCGCAACGCCCGTGACGTGCACACATCGGTCAGCGGATGTTAGACGTGGCCTGCCCGCATCGTCTGTGGTTTGTACTCGTTAGACGAGCGACATCGCACGCGACGACATTGTCGAGGTCTAGTCGATAACATGCGGATGACCTTGCCATACGAAAATGAAAAGAGTGTGAAACTCCCTTCATACATAACAACATACTCATCTATTTTACATCATATATTCTCTATGTTTCCAGCTCACGTGGTTCGTTTGTACCAACCTTCTTTACTTTTACGATGTGTACGATGTTGAAACGTTTTTATTTGTACAAATATATACTCTATCATTAGTTTCACAAGTTGAGAAGTGTTTTCGAGCATTTTCATATCTTCCAACTTTTATTCATCTTTTTATAATTTATTTTGACAGTTTATTATTTTTTACGTCACATTTTAAAAATTAAAATTTATAAAATTGTTGGATTTGAGGTTACTATATTTATTAGTGAATTTTCGGTGTTAATTTTATATTTTTCATGTTTTTCCTATTTTTATTAATTTATTACTAATTTTTCAGAATTTTTGGAAAAATTTAAAACAAAAAGAATTGTTTAAGACTATTTTTTTATATATATAAAAGTCATTTGTGGAAGCTAATGTGTGCATATTTGGGTTGTACATGTTCATTATGATTCTCTGGAAAAATGATGTCTACTCCTGTCACATGGTTTTTTTTAATTTAAGCTTATATAAGGGGGGTAGAGGTGTTGGAGGCAGACTGAGGTGACGGCAGGCGTACATCATGGGCGTCCTGTGGGCTTAGTAGGCATGTTGCGTGGGCTCTTGATGGCATGCATGGCTTGTGTGTGCTATGCCGTTGGGTGCCCACAAAAATACGTCGGCGACGTCTGTGGGGTGACTGTATGACGCTTAAGGCATTTAAATCGACCGTTTTATACTCGTTTGGTGTGGAAACGGCAGTGATTTTGGACGAGTAGCGAGTTCTAGAGCTCCTGTTATGGCTAACTCTAGGCGCTGCACGCATGGGGCACGTAAGTCCATGTACGACCAGACACTATCGATAGGCCGGCGAGGGGGGTGTTCGTGAAAGAACTTCAGTCTGCCTCCAACACCTTCGCAGTGATTAATTCTCACCCCCAACGGAGGCGTTCAACGACGGGGATTGGATTAGCCTTGCAATGAAGGCATCAGCGTCGACATATGACATCTAATGTCGAGCGTCGGGGCATTTGTTGGTAGTGCATCGACGAAAAAATTCACGTATGGTGCAGAAGTGGTATTCGAGTTGTGCGGTTAGGTTGGATCCTTGCTTCAAGCAGTGACATCCTAAGTCGCATTCCATCTCGGTGGCGGATCAAGCGCAATCTAGGCTTGGCGGATGTCGGTCTCCTGTGTTGCATACCTTATGCGTAGGAATTACTCACGTGCAATCAGTCGCCGTTTTGCCCATCGCATTCCATGTGCGGGGTCAACCCAAAAGCCGCTCTCGCATTCCACTCCTTCCTTACTTCGTCGTGCGATGGCGTGGTATGCGAGCGGCGGCTCAAATTCTCAAAGTCGATAGATGCAGTGGGCATGGGTCCTTCACCGAATCCTATCTACCCAAAACAAATGCTCCTTGCGAATGACTGCCGCGCTCGCTTTGGCCATCATGTCGGCGATGCATCATTCACATTTCTAGCCTATCAACCTGAAATCCAATCATTTCTAACTTTTCAAATATGAAGTTTATCGATTGCTTGCATCCTTGGAATGAAAAAACCACCAAGTGTTGAAATATAAGTACGGAGAATAACATGGTGCGTGAAATTTACTAGTTTGCCGCTAAGTGGTGAACTATACGTTCTATGCCGATCAAACACTTGATCAATAAAGATGCCCCATTGTGAGGTTTTTTGTGACATTGGTTTCATTTCTCATGCCTAATGACATGTTAAGGGATTAATAACGTTGTCGCTATAAAAGGTTTTTTGGGATGTCGGGGGCAATTCTAAAGACAACTAAGATGTCAAAGGCAATATGGGTCTATATAGGCAGCACGGGCATTCCACATCCGGGGACAGGCGGCATCAGCCAAGGCCTGTATGCATCGGACAAGAGACATCGGCCAACGGTAGGCAACATTAGCCAAGGCCTGCACGTATCGAACGTGCCATGTGCACATCGGGCAAGCGATGACGGCCAACGGCAAGTGGCATCAGCCAAGGCCTGCAAACATCTGGCAAACAATATCGGCCAATGGCAGGTGGCATCAGCAAAGGCCTACATGCATCGGATGTGGCATGTGCGCATCGGGCAAACAATGTCGGCCAATGGCAGGTGGCATTAGCAAAGGCCTGCATGCTTCGGATGCGGCATGTGC